AATCCTGCATGAACTCTTATACAAATAAATAAACAATAAAGAAATATAATTATCAAACCTGCTTTGAACAACAAAAGAATTCTGATCAGCAGCTGTATTTTATAATGTGGCAGCATTGAAAGAACACAAAAAGTTCAAATGTTAGAAATTAGACAACGTTTCAATCGTCGGAAAACAAACCTCAAGATAATGCATACGTTTCTATGCATGAATACACCTCACAAAACTTCAACTAATATAGGACTACTAGTAAATTGGTCCCGGAGTTTTTTTTTTTTTTTTTGTCGTAAGTCAAACAAAAGAAACTTCAAGATTTTTTACCAGGAACAACTCCATTGGCTGCTTTTAGGTGAACCGGTTACATGATTTTTCGCCAAGACAAACGCAAGCTGTATGTCTTGGACTCCCCTGTTCCCTCCTTTGCGGAAAATCCCAAGCCCCTCTTCGAAAGTCTGTACGAACGGCGTACGCTGACGTCATAACCAATTTCTACAGCAATGGAGGCTCCGCTATAAATGGTAAGACATTTGCTGCAAAAGGATAAATAGTGCATGGAAAGGGAAAACAAGTATATGCTCATATCTGATAGCAAAGAGGGCGATTTAACTTTAAATTTTTTGAAGGTATTTTTGTCATCTTAAAGGAAAACGAATTACAAAGTGATTATCTTTAAAAATAAGCGTTTCTTTCAAATCAGGTGATGTGATGTACTGTAGCTAATCTACTTGTCTAAACTTTATTTCAGGTAAATGCCGAAAAATTTCTCTGAGGAGTGGTATACGTGTGTCTCCCTCTCATTGCCTCTCGTCTGATCAAAGGTATGGTTCAACTTGCACTTTTTCTTGTAACCGAGGATTCCGACTTAAGGGGCCCTCCTCAGTGCAATGTGGAAAAGGTGGAGTCTGGAGCCAAAGAGGAAACTCTGCATCGTACTGTAATGGTGAGTTATTCCTGAGTAATAACGTGTGGTATATTTAACAATTAATCAATGAGGCTGAGTATCTTATGAAGAATTATGGAGATCGAGGAGGGTGTTATCCGTCGAGGCCGTAGGCCGAGGCGGATAACACCCTCCTCGATCTCCATAATTCTTCATATGATACGAAAGCCGAATTCAATAATTGTTTTATTATTCAGTCAAAATAATCCCTAGTTTAAAAACATGGCTAAAACATGCTTACCTCCATCGATCCATCGATGTTAAGTTCATCTTCTATAGTGCACGTTTAGGTTTGTCCAGCTCCGCAATAATTCTCCAAAAAGCAGATGTCGCCCTTCGAGTTGTCTTCTTGCTGTTCTTGCCATGTTTTTAGTTAATTTTTCACCTAGTTCTTACTCTTGAAACGAGTGAAATGTCCGCCATTTTTCAAGTTCACAACCAAAACAACTCAACCTCGTCCCCAGGTCTTCTCGGTTAACGGTGCCTTAACCAGCACGAACGCTGCATTTTTGACGTCATTTCCTCGTTAAACACAAATTTGGTCATCAGAAACTGGTTATGGTGAATTATGCGTGTGCTTTTAGCCAATCAGAATCGGGGAAATATTTTGAATGAATAATAAGAATGGTTAATGTTCCCATTTCAATATATTTATAGTATTCAGTGGAAATTAATATTTACACGAAGAACCGTACAGACACGATCATTTCCCAAAGAAAACAAAACTTTGCAAACAGAACCGTTTTTATCTTAAGTACGTACAAACACCATGTTGGCTATAAAAGAAGATCATCAGCAATGCCAAATTTCAACGAGCTGGCTGGCCCCCGGTTTGGCGGTTTGCCGAGACGAATTTTATCTCGATATTACATAAAGTGATCCCACCGGGAGCAGCCATGTGTAAAGAGAGATGTAAAGCAGTGCGCATACTGAAGCAGTATGTTTTCCGCTGTCCCGATGTTTGGTTTGGACAGGGCCAACCCGACGCAGGTGATTAATACACCGGACAACTTCCAGCCCCGTTACCTGGGACCCCGGCATCGTAATATCGGGATCCCACCTAACCAGGAATTAGCTCAGGATGGCTCGGTTAATATGTAAACACGAAGTTGATTTTTATTACGTTTAATTAACGAGCTGCTTCGGAGAAAATCAAGCCTTGAAAACATGGCCTGCCCGGCTCGTGCAATCAGGCCCTAAAGATACAAAAGACCACACCAAATGCTCCTTCTCTTGTATGACCAACGGGTAACTAACATCGTACAATATCAATAGGACATGTATAAGACTTAATTTTGTGCTTAGCGGCTCACACTGTCTCATATCTTGTCACGAGATTATGTAATATTGTAACTCAATATTGTAACAGTTAGTGTTGAAGTATTTGGTTTGGTCTGTTCTATTTTTAATATTTTGCTGACGTCTTGGATATTTTGTCATTTTGACCTCTGATATCGTTTGTCTCCGCTATCATGTGTCCAGCTCTTACTGTCAGCAAACTTTTGAAAGCTTCACCATCCAGCTGTGGCAAATCCCAGATGAAAATTGACACCAGCTGCTCGTTTACACGCTCACAGGAATACTAACTGAATGGTCCTTCTTTTAAGCAGTGCAGAGTAGATGGTCAGTGGTCCGACAGGGCTAAGAAGGTTTCATGCACTAGCGAGTCTTGAAATTTTAGGTTTTTTTTGTTAATCTTGTCTTTCATATAATAATCAACGTCTGATTTTCGCAGATATTGACGAGTGTTCTTTACCGAAAAAGGGCGGCTGCAGTCACAAGTGTGTTAATACCATGGGAAGCTACAAATGCCAATGTCCAGATCCGGAATTGAGCTTGTCACCAGATAACAAGACATGCCATGGTAAAGTGAAAATTTTAAATAGGTATTTATGATTTCGTAGTCAAAAAAGAGTTTTTCTAAACAATTTTCATTACAGTAACACTCCAGCGTAGCAAAACTGAGTTGACCTTACCCATTAAAGAAGTGTGGCTGAAAAAAAACAACGGCTCTTTGCTAACTTAAAAGTATGAGCAATTCTCATTATATATTTTTTTATAATAAATAGATTTATATTAATAGTTTTTTTAGGCTTTCAAGTAATTTCTCCTTCATCGCCAGTTTAACTCAGTCTATGCTGTTACTTTGTTTTCTACATTTATCTCATGCAAACATTGTCACACGAGAAAAAAAGAATTCTTTTATTTTTTTGTCATGTCTTTAATTCATTTGTATCTATATTCATTCAGCTCCAGGTGTTGTAGTTCAGTGCAACAGCAAGAATATGACCGTTATTATCCCCAAGTCTCTTCTCCGTGGTATTGACCGTGAACATCTTCGACTCCTGGACACCACGTGCAAAGCTACAGAAACAAGCGCATACTTCTCAATCACAACACCGCTGACGGGATGCAATTCAACACGCAGGCACACTGCTTCAACTTTTGTCTATTCCAATACAGTACTGGAAATTCCAGTAGCAGCCAAAGATGTTATAACACGTGTGCGAGAGTTAGAAATCCAGTTCAGTTGCTTTTACTCTAAATATGGAGTAGTTTCCTCAGTTGGCTGGAAGCCAAACAACAGGAAACTTGTGTTTAGTGATGAAGGCAAAGGAAACTTTACACTGTCGTTGAACATGTTTCCTGACAAACGATTTGTGAGTCCTTACATGAAGGTTGATTTCCCTGTTGCTGTGATCCTTCGCAAACGTCTTTTCTTTGAGGTTTCTGTAATATCAAGTGACAAGCAGCTGTCAATCATTGCCGATCAATGTTTTGCCACACCAACTCAGAATGAGAGGAATTCTTTGAAATACATCTTTATTACCAAAGGGTTTGTAAAATTAATGCGTAGTGCAATTAGTCAACCCTTGCTTTTCAACTCAAGTTTACTTAGTCTCCGGTTATAATTGTTAAGTTGTCTTTTCACCCAGTGTTTTTCGAGTTCACTAATGGGTACATATTCATATCGTTTCCGTCTGTGGGAGACCGTTAAAAGTAAAGTTGAATAAATAAAAATGACCCTTCGTTTCATCCACTTCTACAATTTTTGTCTTTAAGCCTTTTTTTTAAATGCAATTTTGAGGTTTTGGTGGAGAAATGTCATCCTTTTTTTGGTTTTGTTTTTGCTTTCTAAGAGGTTAACGTTGTTATGAGGTGGATGGTAATAATCAGGAGCCTATGTCACATGTTTAATCTTTCAACTGAAAATATTTTTTGAAAAATATTTCCACATTTCTAAAACAATATCTATCTGGTATTGATACTAGGTGCCCTAGTGACTTGACTGTTAAGTACCACGGTGCGCCTACTGTCAGTGCACATCGGTTCAGTCTGGAAGCCTTCAAATTCATTGCTGATCATCCATTTGTGTTTGTTCACTGCCACGTGATCGTATGCAACGCAACCGACCCAACTTCCAAGTGTGGTAAGAAATGTTCACCCAGTGGCCGTGGAAGACGTGAAGTGAGCAGTCACATGACTGATGACGTGTACATGTTGGCGCAGGGCCCAATCCACCTAGGCCACCAGAAAAGAGACGCAAATGAAGTTGGTATGGGCCAGAGTGGCGAGACACTAGGTACAAGCTTTAAAAGGCCGATGGGCCGGACGAATTAAAACAAGCTAACTTATATGTATTTTGATAATGGCCTTGACCATTGTCTGTGTGTTTTGGCCTTCCAATAAGAAGTATTCCAACTAACTGCTGTACATGAAAAACACAGTAAAACCCTCCAGGTGCATTTTTTACAGTCGAAAAATGGTAACCGATGGATTACTCAACCTAACGTTTCTCATCCATGTAAGCTTGACAATTACGGTTTATTTTCTTCTTAACAAAAACACCGGCTTTATACAAAACGATTTGCACTTTTACTTTGCAGAGCGTTGTCATTCACATGGCCAGCAACCATTGTAATCTATCAGAACAAAGAAAAAAGAAATGTTTTCATTAGAAAAAAAAAAACCTTTGCTTGGACATCAATATGGTCGCCGTTGCATTGTTTTTGAACACCAATATGGCGGAAGTTACTTCATGTAAATACCGTTATCTTGGTTTTGAAATAGTTCTTGACTGAGCGAGATATTTGGGGTGAAAATTGTGTATTGTGCACCGTGAGCTTTTTTAAGCATTATTGGATCCAAAAATATACAAAGCTTCCACACCATTGCCAGACTATTCTTTTACATCTTGCCTCTGTTAATTGAAGTTCTCATCCCTTTATAGGTTCCAGTCCCTCCCTTATGATGGCCTTGTTCCTGATGTGCCTTATTGGTGTTGCGGGAACAGCACTTTTGGCGTTTAAAAGGTCACGTGACAAACCGCTTGGGTATACTGTGCTTGCTACCGGTGATCACGAGTAAAAAAACATTCGTTGTACATTTACTGGACTTGACGAAGATTTATAAATCTTGAGCTCTGGATATTAAGGCGTTCACAGAAAAACAAAGTAGTTTCTTAAAAATGCTACAAACCTTGCATAACTAATAGAATGACTTTAAAGTGCGGCAATGTGGGAGCTTCCAGCTATCAAAATTCTTTGCAGTTCTTAAAATCTCGGAAACATTCTTGCAACTTTAAAATATCAACTAAGTCCTTGAGCACCTTTTGCTAACGAAAGAAACTAAAAGCTGCTAACGTTAAGAAGAAGAATGTTTAGTTTATTTGGCTTAATTTAAATCGTTTAATCTCAATGATTTACAAACGAACGACAGGAATGTACAGAATGAACGAGAGAAAGCCATAAAGGCGGGATACGATCAGCGTAACAATGTACGTCGCCAGATTTTACCGTATGTACCATACTTTAGTTTCGAACTAGTTTCTTAATCTTCTTGCTGTTATGAAATCTATTCTTTTATTTTTTGATGGTGTTTTGAAGAGGCAATCGGCGCATGTCCATTCGTTCCTACTCCTCGTCATCTCAAACTCCAAGTTATTGATAAATCCGCGCGTAGATTTTTTTTCTCGCTTTTAAGTTCGTTAAAGGCAACGAAGAATATATATTTTTTCTCTTTTGCATTCTACCTTCCTTTTCTGACTTAAGTCTTGCCTTGTTTGTTTTAAAAATTTCAATATCTTCGGCTCAAGTATATTGTGGAATCGCAATACTGAATGAATGAAAACCATCACTGAGCAAGTTAGTAGAGAACGAAAGCTTGAAAACTTCAGTATGGTTCAATGGCTCTTCAGTATTTCGTCCACAGTTATCATTCTTTTACCAGATTGTCAAAAAGACCTCATGCAATAAAGGGAGCTTTGATAGTTTTATGCTGATCATAGGATATCTTAACCAGTTCTTAGTACCTGGAAAACAAAAATATAAATAACAACTAGATAATCTAGAAAGGCAACAGAAAACACTCACTACGTTTAATTTAGAATCAATGCTCTTAGCTATTACAGTTGTTAAATAATTGTCACGAGATCAATAAAAAGAGGTTAAAATTACTTATTGTACATCCTTCGAGATTTCCACCCTTTACTCAAGTGATTCCCAGTACTACTCACCCATAATAGGGTGAAAAATACTGGGAACCAACGACAACATCCTGTGATGTCTAATTTGAATGGTAGCTTGATCGACTCCGTCCAAAATCTTAACTAACTAAGAAATTCAGGTCACGTGCCTTCAATACGCCGATACAATTACCATAATTTGGAGAATTTAAAAAATGGACTTCAGTTTCTAGAGGAGAGAAATGCTTTTGTTCTTCTCTGACCAACATGACCGCCGTGACGTCACGTGAAAAGATGCAATACTATACAGAGAAGCTGACATAGTAACCAGGCATTTTAATTCTCTGGCTGGCGCATTCAACTGGTTTAGCGGAGAGCAAAAAGACATGAAGAAATACAGTCATGATATCCTAGATTAAGTAGACATCCTACGGCAGATGGGAGTTCAAGCGATCACGTTAAAAGGACTCTCATCCCTCAGAAAAGCAGCTTCAAGGTGTACAGTTGGGAAAAAACTTAGTCAAAGTTCACACTATACCGGGTAGCTTTTGCGCCGCCATGAAGAACAGACCGGATAGGACTTCTGTTTACACACAAAAATGGTTGTGGCGGCGCGATTTCTGTGACGAAGCGAAGCTGCGCCGCGCCGATTTCTAAAGCGGAAAATCACATAATGGATACGTATAGGTGTTCATATTATACCCCATACTTTTTCGTGGTGCCACGAAAAACTATCCGGTATAGTGTGAAAATGGTGCCAGAAAATGGGTGAATAGAGCATCAAGCAAACCGCGCTTTAACTTTAACTCTATCAAACATGTACATGTGTACATCTCCTTATTAGTAAAGTTAAGCTTAGAAACCTCTCAACCATTTCAGAAGTTCAATAACGAAAGAGTTTCACTGTAAATGCCTTGGAATAATTTTGTACCGATGACTCTGTATTTTAAACCACTTATTATGAACCGATGATGTTAGGTTAAGGTAGCTTATAGTAATCATATTATTCGCACAAAAAACTTATTACGAGAAGGTCGATTCTTCAATTTGAATAGACCACAGTTTGCTTCGACTGAATAATATCACGCATGCACCCAGTAAAAAGCCGAGCTGGCAAAGTTCGCATTCCAGGCGATTTGGATCTCTGTCAAACAGTTCACCCCTCCCTCCTCGAGGGGATCTTAGAAAGAAGGTACTCCAGTCGTTTGTTGGTACACTGTACCGTTGGTTTGGAGCTGTTCAGCAAGGAAAATAAAGAGTAGTCTGTTAAGTAACTCATCAGCAAGCCTCCAAATCCAACCACCTTCTCATGGTTACGGTAAAAATTTGCTCGAGCAAAAATTTCCTTTCTCCACTAGGCCCGCAGATAAGGCATGTTATTAGGTTCATGAGGTACAACCAGCTTTCAGTATCACGAAGACGGCTTGACTCCTTGCACCCCGAAAACCAACCAATAGGCAAGCTTTTCTCTGGCCACGAATTTATTCCACGATGTCGATAGTTTTGCTGATTTTCCCTAAATATCTGTCGGCCTTCATCTTCTGAACTCAAAGCCTTTCGAACCGTCTTCATCTGGACCTCTAAAAGGGAAAAAAATCAAAACCACGCTTTAGAAACAGGAGAAACAAACAAACAAAAAAAATTCAACGTATGTATTTTTCTCAGCTAAAAGGTGTGGATGCGCTGTCCATACTGAATTTTCCTGATCGGCGTACATGTACGCTGTTGATTATCGGATCAATTAAAAACAGCGACAATAAATACTGGGATAAGATATTATAGCGGAGCTCCTCGCAGAGCGTTAGCGAGCGTAGCCCCTAGCTAAGAAATTTTGGTTAACTATCCATCCGAGAAAATTTGGTTATCACGTCAGCCTACGCCCGCACCTACGTACGTTCTCTGGGGGTGGTACTAAGTAGACTTGGGGGTAGTACTCACTAGACTCTGCAAGGGTGACGGGGAATCCAAGACATGAAGCTTGCGTTTGTCTTGGCGAAATATTATCAAGGTAGTGGAAGTTTACCTAGAGGCAGCCAATGGACTTTTTCTAGTGTTACAAAGCTACTTATTTCTTTCGACATAATTTTAATGTCTCCATTGACGTGGATAACAGAGAAAGTGCTAGAGCGCGAGAGATTAAAAAACAAAGGAAACGAATTTCGTTGGAAGAAGAACATAAAATTTTTTTGACAAAATAAGAAATGGTAGCGGCCACCAAGGTGGAATAAAATTAACGGCAGCGATTAAAAAAAAAACGTGAACAGGAACACATTTAACATCTCCATCATACATGTAAAACGTCTAACTATGAAGTTTTTTGAAGTTTCACGTTGTAGTCGTGCAAAACAACGGCAAGGAAATGTACAAAAAAAGAAAAAAAAAAAAAGCGCGCGGCACTTGCAAAGTTTTTTGGTAATTAGACACACTTATTTTTTTTTTTTTGGGGGGCTGCTTTTGTTGCCGTCGCCGCTTAGCATTAAGGTGATGTTACACAGGACGATTTTTAGCGCAACAGAGCGTTGAAACAATGTTGAAACAATGTTGTAACCATTTAAAACAATGTTGCAACGCTGTGTTGCGCTAAACGTCGTTCCTGCGAATCGTCCCGCCTAACATTACCTTTACTCGATTGTTATTCTGTTTGAATAAGCTATAGATATTGAAGAGAACTTCGCTTTTAGCCCTGACCATTTCCATATATTACAATGTTATGATGTGAATGCTACGCGTGCTGCGAATGGTCGTTGCCCATGATGTATCAGAGTACAGATACATGGATGACGTCACGGAAAACTTGGCGCGCGGGTTTGAAAATGTTTGTGAGATAATTTCGGATTACGCAAGTGAAAGCCTCCTAAACCTTGAAATTTAGCAAGAGCTATTAACAAAGAAGAAAAATAGATAAACGAAGACAAAAAGAGTTCTTAAAGACTTGAAAATGTCTAAACTGGAAGAAATATTAACAACAGTTGCCATCGTGTATCATCGCTACGAGAGACTCGCTGTTTTGCAACATGTTTTCGCCATCATTATGCTTTGAGCAAGTGAAGACGTTGAAAAGCTTTTCGAAGAAACTGTATAAAAATAAGATAAAGAAGAAAAGAGGCCGAGACGCAAAATAGCCCTTGGGACTAGCACAAATCCTCGAACAGTCAAGCAGTACGATGCAGGTATGTGTATCGGTCTTAATACTTTCCTGATCATTGTACAAAACAAATAGATTCTATGTTGCTGTGGGTCTGTTCAGTAATAGATCCCAGAAGACATCAACATGTGGTAAAAACATCGGTGACACACTAGCCTGCGGCTCGTGTGCCACTTCTTTGTTTTTACCACAATCGTTTTGACGTCATCTGTGATCTATTACAGAACAGACGCACGGTAACATGGAAACTATTTATTAAGTAGAATATACTATCTTGGAGCCCGATAAACCTGATACTTTTGGAGAAATTCCGTTTGAAAATCTGGAAATTTAACCAAACTGTGTTACTGCTTGTCGTTTCTGGATATCCGGGATGCCAAGTTGTCGATGGCTGATACTTTCTCAAAATAATATTGCTCGCATTATAATGTACTGGCCAAAAAATGCACAGATCACTCAAGTTAACTAGCTACCTCAACATTGAAATTACTTAATCTATCCATAGAGATACCCCTGCTGATGGGAAAATCGAATGCTATTGAGCAGAATAATGACCTCATGAAATGAGTTTGCCACAACATCCCAGCTTCGTGGTGAAAGTACCTGACCTGTCCCTACATGTAGTAAGTCTCATCTTAGAACCCGGTCTTGGACTTCCATTGCTTTTGACAAGATAACTGAACGTTCCATTTGTCTCAGTAATTAGTTATCGCAATGGATGAAGTGCAGATGAAACTGTTTAGCTCTTACCTTGGAAGTCGGATAACATTTTCAGGAAGTTTCTGTTCAACATGTATGACTTTTGGAGTTTCATTTTTCCTGCAGTAAATAGAGTAAAATGGTGAAAACATAACTTTGTTTACATGCAAAACATTAGAAGGTGCGACTTGTCATGTATCATCACAAAATCATTCTGAATGCAGTCATTTGCAATTTTGATCCCTTTCTCTAAGAATAACAAAAACTTGTTTTTGAGAAAAAATATTCAGTGTACATGTACAATTATGTAAGCAACAACTTTTGGTTCACTTTTTTGGCTTCAGTGCAGGGCTATGATGTAAACAACCCTAGCGATAGAGAGAAGTCATTTTGGCTGCTTTGCCATGGTAGGAAAATTTCTAGATCTCAACAAACCAAAATATATCTATATATTATATTGACTAGTATGACTTTTGTGTGCATGATTGCACTTAGGAACAAAATGGAGCCCATCTTTTCCTCTATCGTTTGACCTTGCAAATGACCGTCTCTGTCAAGAACGATTAAGCTGATTTAGCAACCGAACGGGAACGTCAGTTGACGACGGGAACGCGCACGGAAAGGACTGAACGCGACTTCCGGTGCCCAATATTATAGATAGTTTTCACTCACGTGACAAAATCCCTGACAACGGTTGCTACGCCGCCATATTTGTGTACAGATATCGTAAACAAATCGACTGCTTTCTTTGAAGGAAGATGGTGTTGTGCTTGATTGTGGGCTGTGGAAATAGAAGTGGACGGGATAAAGGATTATATTTTGCCAAAGTACCTTCGATCATTGAAAATCAAGGAAAAGAAGCGAGAGATTTGTCAGAAGAAAGAAGATCGCGGTGGATTTTGGCGATCAGCAGGGACGACCTCACCGATACCATTTTGGAGAACGATCGCGTGTGTGAGAAGCACTTTGTTTCTGGAAGAGCCGCAAAACCATGGGATAAATTCAACGTTGACTGGGTCCCAACTCTGAATGTAGGACATAATAAGAAGACCAGCCGAACAGATCGAGAACAAGCGGCAAAAAGAAGTGAGAGGGCAAGAGAACGCGAGCTTGTAAAGAAGCCGGCATTTGCTAAAAGAGAGAAGGAACTCGAAGCCGAGAGGGAAGTGAAGAGATCAAAACTTACCGAACCAGGGCAGCAAATTTTTGATTTAAACTTCGACTTTAGCACAGAAGATAGTCTGGAGACTCCTACAGCGAAAGGAACACAAACCGACACGAAGTTATGTGTGGACACTGGCACACAATCCGAAGAGTTTGACTACCTTGTCAGCCCACCGAAGATTAAACCTCCATTTGATCAGTGGGAATTTAAGAGTGACAACGAGAAAGTCAAGTTTTATACAGGACTTCCTTCATTCCATATCCTTAACACTGTTTTCTTGCAAGTTTCTCCACATGTAAGCCGTAAATCACAAAATTTGACATCATTTCAGGAGTTCATTATGACACTGATGAAGCTGAAACTTGACATGCCTTTCAAAGATTTATCTTACCGTTTCAATGTGTCACTGCCGACAGTTTCAAGGATATTTTCTGCATGGATGGTTGCTTTGGATGTCAGACTGTCACCCCTCATCAAGTGGCCCGATCGAGAAGACTTGTGGCAAACAATGCCACAGTGCTTTCATGTTTCATTTGGCAAGAAAACAACAGTAATTATCGATTGTTTTGAAATTTTTATATGCAGGCCATCTAATCTTCTCGCTAGGGCACAGACATTCTCTTCCTATAAGCATCATAATACTGTCAAAGTATTAATTGGAATAACTCCTCAAGGAACTATTTCCTTCGTTTCAAAAGCATGGGGAGGGAGAACATCTGACAAATTTCTTACTGAAAATTGTGGAATACTGAAAAAGCTTTTGCCTGGAGATCTGATTTTGGCAGATCGTGGTTTCACAATCCACGAAACAGTGATGTTTCAGCAAGCCCAACTGGCCATTCCTGCCTTTACCAGAGGAAAAGATCAACTTGATCCTGTGGATGTTGAGAAAACAAGAGGCATTGCTAACGTACGCATTCATGTAGAGAGAGTGATTGGACTACTTCGCAGGAAATTTACCATTTTGTCTGGAGTCTTGCCCATTGACTTTTTAACATGCAAGCCGGGTGGAACTGAAAATGAATCAGTACCCATGATTGACAGAATCATCACTGTATGTGCTGCACTTATTAATTTATGCCCAGGCATTGTGCCTCTTGACTGAACTTTTTTAAAAGAAACTATTATACTAAGGAGGAAAAGCATTTTAATCACCACTCAGCATTATGAAAATGTTAATATAGACAAAGGAAATAATCATTTCCCCTTCCACCCCTCCCCCTTCCCCACCGGCCTCCAGTTACCTTGCCTCAAAACACATTTTTGAATAAGTAATATTATATTGAATACATCATCAAAATATTTGGAGGGGTGCATGGGATATAGCCATAAGTGACTCCAAGATAATTTGAAATTTTATGTTGTTTTAGATCATACGGCTTCAAGTTCAATTTGGAATTAATTTGCATGAGTGAGTTTTTCAAAAAGGTGAAATTTCACAAGCCGCTTTGGCGAGTACAATTTCAGCTTTTTTGAAAAACTCACAAGTGCAAATTAATTCCAAATTGAATGAGAAAAATTGTATGATTACTTATTAATAATATAAATATGAAAAGAGTCGCGTGTACGAAGTGCCGGAGCAAACCTTTCTTGATTAAATGTGGCCCACATTTTTTCTCACTCGACAAAACTTTTTTCAAAGTTTCTGCAAAAAGTTTTCCTGATCATGTTACGTGATATCATTGGCTTAGAAGATTTCCTATAGTCTTTCAGCCAATCAGAATCCAGAATTTCGATGTGTAATTTGCATTGCTGTTACACCTTTTGCACTTGTGTTTCACTTTTTGCAGTGGTGTTACAGTTGAACTGCACTGCTCTCAGTTAATCAAAATTGAGTAATTTTTTCATGTATTTCATTACAAATTATATTTAAGTACAAGACCTTATGAAAGAAAAATCAGAGGTCACTAAAGGCTTCATTATATCCACCCCTCAGTTATTGTAAGTGTAAGGTGGTGTAATAAACATTAAATTGAATTGTTTCTGTTAACCGAATGTTTGTCATTCACAAAGAAATTCAAGTGGTAGGGAAAAGGTTTATGCAACCTCTTTTCAGATACTGAATCAAATGAGGACGCATTTTAGGAACATCAAAAGTAACATTGCATGGATTTTGCCCATACACAAGACATGTTGCAAATGCAACTGCAAACATGCCACAGTCACTGCCATTGGTTTGTTGCTGAACTGGCATGTTTGTAATTCTGTTTAAGTTTAGACCATACAAATTCTGGGCAAGTTCCTGTATCTCTTGAGTTATCACTGGTTTCATGAGACTGTCCAGTAACTGCACTTCACCAGGGGGGCATCCAATCGAGGTCAAACACACCCAGTGATTATTGCCTACATGCAGAAGTTGAATAAATTCTGATGTCATTGTGTCAAACTGTCTGACAGGACCAAGTGTTGGTCTCTGAAACCCTTCAATGTTTGGATTGATCTTTTGCAACAGTAGCTGTGCTTCATGGGCAATTGAGCAGTCCAGCCATCCAGTGGCGGATGCAATGAGGTCAAACTCAGCTTGACCAAGACTTCCAAGAGACTTGTGTTTGTTATGGGATGTTGCATGTTTTACTGTTTTTACGAAAGTCACGTCAACTGAGGAGGTTGAGGAAGATTTTCCTTGTTTCATGTTGCTTCCTTTGCAAGCTGGGCAAAGCCAAGTGGTATTACTATTATTCGGCATACGTTTTAGGTTGATGCATGGCAAATGAAAAAAATTACCATTTTGGCAACTAGAGTTGTGGCACTCTAAGAGCCTGTCGGTTAAGTTTGGTTTCTGTTTACACACACAAACAGAATCTAATCTCAGAGCATCTGCTTGTGCTGTAATTTTCTTTCCTTTTTTTGCCCTCTTAAACTCTGGATTTGTTCTACAGTTTGGGCAGTACCACAACTGGGGAATACTGTCAATGCCCAAACATGTGGGATGGAACTGGCCAATTTGACACTTTGGGTTGCAGCAGCTTATGGTGTCTTCAGTTGTTGCTGTTCTGCAATAACAAACTGAGTCGGTCACTGCCGGTTTATCATAATGACACCTGGAATACCACCTTCCAAGCACCTCGGGTAAAATGCATTTCCTCCAAAAATTAGTTAGCTTTGGTACCACAGCTTTCCAGTGATCTGCATCAGGCAAAATTCTCTGTTGCACATGCTTGGCTTTCCCATCATGATCAAATGCACAAACTACAAAGTCACAGTACTGTTTCCTCCTGGTAAAGATTTGTTGTTGGCACTGGTAGAAATATTGGTGACTTTTCTTTAAGTTAAAGTTACCAGTACTGTCCTTTTCTAGACAAGATGATGGTGTCAACACATAGCTCTCGAAATTGCAATTTTCAACACACAGGGGGCATTTCACTTCACCACAACCTTCACCGCAGCAGTCACAGGAACACAGGAAGTCAGGAGTAGCATGTATCCAGGGATACTCTTCATTTATCATCAGCCCACATTTGACAACTTTAAAGTTTACATGTTTCTGTTTCATTACATTTTCATATGCATTTATTGCATCCTGTTCATGTTTACAGCCATGACAGACTGCTTCTGTGTTTAGCTTGGTCAGTTCAGGATAACAAATTGACTGAATAAGGGACTGAGAGGGCAAAGCAGGATTTGTTTTACATACTGCTTTGCTCTGGGAAGCCCCAATTCTGCCAGCTCTGTGTTTAAAAAAGTTGTTCCCCCTTGCCTGGCTTATGGTGTCCCTCTCCACTTGTTCAATCTGCTCCTTGGAAAGTTGAACCTTTACATTACTGCAAACCTTTAACAGTCCCGGATATGTTAACTGCAGATACTTTTTATCGAAAAGATCATTGATTGTTGGGATTGAGCGACTTTTGAGGACATAACTTTGTGCAAACTCAGGAATTAGACTAAGAGCAATGGGTTTGCTTTCACTACACTTGCTAAGTTCTGCGTAAAAGGCGTCCATCTCTGCTTCTGTGGGTGGTGAAATTTTCTTTCCAGAACTAGCATAACCTGGGATTGGAGTCTCCAGTGGATCAGAATTCGAAACTCCCGGTTGAAGGTTAGATATTTTCGAATCTAAGTCAGTTTTCATTTTCTTAGCGGAAGTAAAGTTTATATCCCGTGCCATTGAGTACTCCACGTGGTCTACGTACGCGGGAAGAAGCCACGAGCATTTAACTTGCGTACACGCAAGTTTTCCATTTATCTTCGTCCATGCTTCTAAGTAAAACAAAACGCTTGCGATATGCGAACATGATTCCGCTAACCCGGCCTTGCAACCTAGGCAATGAGCAGATAAAACTGTTCCTTCTCTTTCTGTTATAATCCAGATAGGGATCAAAGAGTCATTCATTCTTTGCGAATGTCTTACTTTGGCTAACACAACAAACTTGTTCGCGATTATGTGGCCTTTTACGCTGGTAATAAATCCCGAAACCATTTGATTATAGGCTTCCAGGCTTCGGAAAGCTTTAAACTGTTGTTGCGTATAGAAGCTCGTCTCTAACACCAGATAAAAAAGAAGATCTGTGCATTCCACAGGAGGCAGGCAATCTGGTTCAAAATTCTTACTCTCAATGAGCACGGGATCGATTCCAATCGCCGAAATTTTCTCCATATAACGCTGCTTGACTCGTAGCTCTAACTTCTTGGCGTACTCAGAAAGAGGAATAAAGCTACTTTCATCGGGATTTCCACTTAACTTTGCGCGATCTGCTGAATTATTCATTTTAAAGGCAAAAATGATAGATGTGACTCACATTTGCATATAGACTATCCAAAGTTGTACACAAATATGGCGACCGGAAATGATGTGACGTCACATGAAAACGATCTATTTGCCGCTCTGCCATTGGTCAAGCCAGTTGTTTGGTTTGCACATGCACTCGTCAACTGACGTTCCCGTTTTGTTGCTAAATCAGCCTATTGTTCAGGTCCAGTGATGATCCCACCATGGTAATGTGATGTGACAAATTCTTCTCTCTATATCCCCAAGGGTAGCTAGGGAAGATGGTATTGTGTAACTGCACCTAAAGAATGATATCGATTTATTTACTTATACCTGTAATTCAAATAATGATGATATCCAGAAATGGAATCAAGGAACTTACTCTGGGTCATTGCTTTCATCCGCTGTAGCACTTCCCAAAATCCTCGCCCTATAAAAAAATTATGTCTTTATACATGTAAAGGGTCTACCTTTGCAATTTTATGAAGGGTACAGTGACAAAATGTAAACACTTAATTCTGCAGATAATACTGTAATTTTCTCACGTGTACATTTTTGGCACTGGATCAGAAGTTCAGACAGGGGCTGTGCTCTAGCAGTAGCCCCTGGTACCTCACTTTTGCTTTTGGGCAACTAGGAAATCATGAAAAGGTCACAGGTTTGTCACGATTCCACTGTAAAGTAAACAAATAAAGTTATATTCCTAGACTTTCACTCAACTTAACAGGGACTGCCATTGGTTGATTCTTGGTCACTTGGCCTTGACTAAAATCAAATGTATCCCAATCATGATACATTACAGTACATGATCAAAGCATGGTGGAAAGTGGTGTGACAGAAGGCGGGAAAAACACTGCCAGTTTTCTTTTACATGAATAAACACAACAACTTGAACACAAACATGAAACCTCAAGCTAAAAAGCTACGATTTTTAAAGTCATCCCATAACAGAAACAGCAGCTAGCTAGTGGAGGAAAAAGATGCAAATAATATAAGGAAAGTACATGACCTTGTAAATCATTCATTCAATGGTTTAAAAAATAAACTTTGTGTTGTTATAGGTACCAAGTCGACCGTTTTGGTTCGCTTCGGTTATTCTTTTGTTGCTGTTAAAGTGAAAGTCTAGAAATATAACAAAACATTCTTCTTGGGAAACATCAGGACTCTCAGGAAAACAAAACTGACTGTTTCCCTCAGGATCTGACATTAAGTGTATACAGCTGTATTATTATTTTTGTCATCATTATTATTATCATCATCATCATCATCATCATCATTCTCATTGTCATTGTTACATGTATTGTAATTATCATAATCATTATTTTTTTGATGTTTTATAGACATTCTATGCTGGGCACCCTGGATTTCACAGGTTCAAGGCACTGGGCATTGTCAATTTTTCTTAGAGCACAGGCTTGGATCCGCATGCACATGTGCACATTGTACATTTGCTTTTTAATATGAGAAACAATTATCTGAGCTGATGAGAAACGAAAATATTACATATATATATATACAGTGTGTATATTTTTTTTATATAAAAACAAACAAACAAACAGACATACAAAAAAAAACAGCAAAACAACAACAACAACTACAAAGACATGTACACCAACTGAAACAGAGAAACACAACAGTGTATTCTAATAGATTAATGTCTATGCATTTATAGTCAGAAAGGCTCCTTTAAACTTCAAACTAGAAAGTACAGTTGTAATCACTGGATTCTAAGAGATGGAGTTTGTGTAATAAACTTGTTCTCACCTTGCTTCAGCATATTGTGCCTGTCTTTCTGCCAGTGTTTTATGGACAGGTTTTTCTTTACTATTTTCTTGAGTTTTAGATAGATTTGATCCTCCAGAATCTGGCCTCTTCAAAATTCTTAGCTACAAGAAAAAAAAATCGCTGACAATGAAATTAAAATCTTGAAACGGCCTGAAACTACATACAGCTGGAAGTGAAATCTTCCACAGAACCAGTATATTTATGTTAATAATATCAAGGCTGTGCTCTAAAGAAGGGAGCCCAGTGCACTAAACCTGTGAAATCAAGGGTGCCCAGCACGTGCTTTGTACGAGAAAAGTAAGATTTCTAGTCGCCCAAGATCAAAAGTTAGGCGCCAAGGGCCGCTGGGCTCCACAAGAGCACAGCCCTGAATATAAAAATTATTATCATTAAAGATACTAAAACATCAGACCCTGAGATGACACTGGGTTTTAGGAAATTAATACTGCTAACCTTGATAGCTGGTTAAACAAAATTTTAAATAAGAACTTATTTCTTCTTTAATAATCCATAACTGTAGCTTAAAAAAAATATTATTATTTGATTCAGAGGCCCAAATGAGAGTCTAAAAGTAACAGTAGCTTGAATCAGAATTTCTTTTGGAATAAAAAGCTATATAATATTGGGAGAATGCAGTATTTTTGTTCAACTGATACATCAGAAGGAATAACATTTTTTAGTTTACCGAAATAAACTTCTCACAGCTAAGCCATTCCTAAATGGAACTCACAAATAGAAGATGTTGAGTATTTTTTTTTTTGGGACATACTTTGTCCCAAACTAATATTAAACTTATAGAAGTAATCATTGTTTACGGATTCGCATTTGTCACCTACTGAAACGATATCGAGTTGAAAAGAGTCCAGTTTCCCAGCCGAGATGCCCCTGATAAAATCAGTAGGGGTGGCTAATCGGCAGTGGCCCGCGATACCTCGAAAATTAGTGGCTTTGTACCACAGGACAACCAAGATTAGGATGCACACTGACAAATGTGATGACCAGATTATGTAGAACAAAGCAGACCAAGTTTTCCCTCATGTTCCATAAGTACATTTACCTGTGGTCTGTAATGAGTTCTGTTTGTATCCTCTTGCATCAGAACAGGAGAGTTGGTTTTGGTTTCTTTTAATCTGTATAATAATAAGATGTAGACACAATTAAATTAGTGCTCTTTGGTTTATACTGTTAAGCCTTTTTGAACTGAACCATCCACAATGCAAAAAAAAGTGACTGTTGGTCTCTTAGGAACTGTGTTGGTTGCACATAGAGGGGAAGGACATTTTAAATATTTAACATTCTCAACATGATTTTGGGTGCTCACAGCAAGCCAATAGTACAACCCTCACCCACCCTGCAGCCCACTACCCGTGGTCCAAATGTACAAAGCTCTTTCTTGCACTCTTTAATTTGTAGGTTGATTAGCTTTATTTTTCTTCAAACAAGTTTTGAACTGGTTTATCTTACTTAGATGATCCACTCGAAGCTTTTTCATCTTTCTCCCTGACCTGCTTCTCCCTCTCCTCCATCCTTCTCTCCAATTCCTAATAAGTAAATTAAATCATCATCATTGTAATAATATCATAATAATCTAGCAGTATCCATTGGCCCATGGAGCCTTAATTTTGTGGGGTTGCTAAGAAATCTCAGCACTTTTCACTATCCTGGATTTCACAAGTTCAGAGAAGCGGGCTCCCGTCATATCCTACTAACAGACGTAATTCAAATAAACCTTTTCTAATCATAACGTCAAAACTGATAAATTGAATGATACAAGCATACAAGTTAATTAAGAATCGTCCAACTTCTCAACAAAACTAAAGAATACTGAAGGGACTGATGTCGATAAACGGGCTGTGACTTAATAAATCAATGTGCAAAAGTCCATTTTTTCACACGATCTATTAACAGCCTACCCCAGAATCTGCCACATCTTCCCAGCTATCCCAAATATCTTCGTCGTCTTCTTCAGCCGCCATTATTTTTTTACATTCGCCACTTCCGTCAACGATTCTACGCGTGCGTTGTTTGAGTTACCGCTGTTCTTTGTTTGCGTGTGTACAGAAACAAAATGGCGGCGAAAAGGTTGATTGAGGTCGATATGAAAGACACGGGGGACTCAATTTCCCGCGGTTCCATCGAAGTTTGTCGCCTTATGCACCCGGATGATGCTAATATTGCTGGCAATGTTCACGGTGGGACAACATTGAAGTTAATCGAGGAAGCAGGGTTCATAATTGCTACACGCCATTGTAACAAGAATGGTCGGAAACGGAGTCCTGAGCCGATATTGGCTGCTTTGGCGCGCGTTGAAAGGACAGATTTCTTGCAACCGATGTTTATAGGGGAAGTTGCTCAAGTTCACGTGGAGCTAGGCTACGCATCAACGCATTCTTTGGAAGTGCAAGCGTGCGTTTGGGCAGAAAATCTCATAACCGGAAGTCGTAGGCTTACCAACCGTGCCTCACTCTGGTACGTTCCCGTCACCGGAAATGAGGAGATGAGGATCATACCAGAAGTACCTGCTGTAGAATATTCAAGTAAAGAGGAAGAGGAAAGAGGAAAAGAGAGATACAACAGACAGAAGAGAGCAAGGCTTGATAAAAGGGAGCTTATGAAAGAGGTAGATAAACGTTATTACTTACCTACATACATGTACTATTCTGTTATCCAGGGTTGGGAAGGGGTACTCAAAAAAGTTTTGTAAGGGGAGGCTCTTCCACAAAGTCCAACCCTTTTTCCTTTTTTATACCATTTTTTAACCAAAAAAGTGTCTCTTTCCAATACCTTCTATAGACAAAGTGTACCCCTTTCACATACCTTCACTGTAGTTTCAAAATTTGCACCCCTTTAACTTCTGTAATGAAGCCCCTGCCCTTTGATATACCTGAACCCTAAAATAGGTAAACCCCCCTCCCCTGGGACGTGATCTACATGAAAAGGGCTAAGGAGCGTCCTTTGTTGACCAACAACATTTTTTGTTAGAAATTTGATGCCTAAAAATTTAAAATAATGGTCTTTTTAGATAGAAGTGCCCCTACATATCAATGATGGAGTGCAACCAACTGAGCGAACTGATGGCAGGAATGTTTCAAGATATAGTGTAAACAGCTCACAGTCATCTCTGATCCACTCTGTACAACCCTCAGATTGTGCAAGTACTGGGTATGTACTTGGAGGTGTTACTATGAAAATGATGGATGAAGTGGCAGGAATAGTTGCATTCCGACACTGTAAAACCAATGTGGTCACGGCATCAGTTGGTAAGAGTTTATCCTCCCACCCCTAAGAATTAAAAAATACAAATACGAATAATATGAAAAGTTATGGATATGTGTAATTTCAGATCAACAATTTTATACAAATTTTGACTTTTGGTCCAAATAAAAGCTACATGTAATTTAATAAAAAAAAATGAAAGGGAATGCGGATGAACTGATGATGCTTACATGTTATTGGAAGTAAGAATTTTTATTTTGATTGATTATTTTTTTAATGTAATGCCTTTTTTTCCATCAGTCAAAGGGAGCATATAACAGAAGCAACAACAATCACAACAACAAACAAAAATTAACTGAGAGTAAACAAATGGAATTTCTTTCTAACACCCTGAACTTCAAGGTGGCCATAAAATTGTTTTATTGCCTCAAGCACCAGAGCCATATGTGAAGAGACCTTGTCAAGGTTTTGGAAGCCATTTTGACTTGTTGGCAACCGTGTGGGAAATTACAGTGTTTGTATGAGAATCTCATGTCCAATAAATTCTGTAAAACGGCTGTTCTGAAAAAAAAAAAAAAAGATGTGAGTTGTAAACTAAAGCTTCACTCCTAACAATTCTACTGAAAAAATATGAGGGTGTGACATGCAGCTACATTTGCTAGAACCAGTTTTTAAAATTTTCTGTACATTTCTCTGTAAAAATTTTTCTTCCAGCCAACTAAAATTTCCCGCGAAAAATTGCAGACAAATATACGGAAAATCTAAAGCAAGAATTTAGAGAAATTTAAGCACAGTTAAGGCCCTTGAAATTTGTTAGTAGAATCCTTTGCTGTGTAGCTTTAGTTTTCAATTCATATTTTTTTCAGAACAGCTGTTTTGTGGATACATTAGACGTCTCTAGATTCTAACACTACGACTACGACAATGAGTGCGAGAATTCTCAATACTAACCATGCTAACAGTGATTTTGTTACAAATAGCTATGGTAAGGGAAAGTTCATTTAATATGCCAAGGGGGGGAATGAAGATATTGAAACTCGAAGCTTGAAATTTTAGCAGCCCCCCTCGCCAGCGGTTCAATTTTTTAGGAGCCCCCTCCTTGGTAGTCGAAAAAATTTCAGAGCCCCCCCACTCCTCCTTCAATTCCTTTGCTCCCCTGAAAAAAGATCGCTAGACTGTATTAAATATATTTACCGTTATTGTCTTCAATGGTTTATACTATGACAAACTTGAGATACCGTTGTGATAAAATTTTCTAAAGCATTTTGGGATGAACAAGAGTGTAATAATTACTGAGACTACATTTGTTATATCTGTAAACCACGTGATATAGCTGAGTTGCACAGGTCATTAAATTGTTGGGTTGAAAACCATCCGATCTGTATGATGATGTCATGTGTTGGTTTTGAAGTATACAAATTTTCGGAGCCCCCCCTTCTAGTGCAACAATTTTTTCAGAGCCCTCCCTTCGGGTGTCTAAAAATTTTCGGAGCCCCCCCTCAATATCTTCATCCCCCCTTGTCATATTAAATGAACTTTCCCTAAGTCCTGGGATTCATCTTGTGAAAAATCATGAGTCCAAGTCCAGAACCACTGAGTCCTAGTTCAGAAAGACAATGAGTAACAAACTGAAAATGTTTGGGCATTTATAACACAGTTAATCTGAGCCGCCATGTTGCAGTTTACTGAAATTAAAACAGAGAGCTTTAGATTTGAGGACAATAACGTGTACAAGTACAAGATTTAACTTAAAGGTTGATTGCGCGTGTTCTAGAAAAAAGAAAGAAGACACCCCACAAGCTTGATTTTACTTTTTTTCATCAAAGAAGTCAGTACGGGTATTTATACTGAAGGAGGTTAAGCCCTCTCCTGATAGCAAAATGATAAAACTGCTTATACTTTTCATAACTTGTTGTTTTCCTGCGAAAATGACGTTGGTTCACGTGTGAGCAATACTCAGTATTAAGAAAATCTCATACTTGTAGATTTCCTGGTCTCAAAATCTAAAGCTCTCCAATATAGTCCTCCTTTTTCTTTTAAACAACAGCCACAATGGCAGCCACAAAAATCACACAAACAGAATATTCTACATTTAAACATCTTCAGATCAATCGAAGTACAATGAAGCTTTCCAGGGTGTCTTTTTTTTTCAGAATATGCGAAAAAAAAAAAAAAAAAAGTTGTTCTCTTCCAGGTAGTCGTACTCGTCCGGGTAGTCATTCTTGTCCTTGAATCTAAAGGTCTCTATTTATCCACTTGGATATTAAATTGTAAAAAGTAAAATAAATGTAAATTTTTGTTGAATTACAGATGCGATTGACTTTCATGCACCAGTGAAGCTAGGTCACGTGATACATCTGACTGGGAGAGCTACTTTCACTAGTAGCCACTCAATGGAAATCGAAGTTGTTGTTGATGCCAAAGATTATGTAGCAGGTATGGACTAAATTAGAAGCTATCTCCTTCTAATGGCCATTTTATTGTCTACCCCACCTCTCCAAAAATGAGTTTCAAAATGCAATAAAATGATTATAAATGATAATGATAACATAGATAGTATATGTAAATTAGTAAAAATAATGCAATAAAAATAATGCAAAGGGGCAACGAAAAAAATAATGTTGACTTCCTATCAAGATGAACTCTTTCGGAAGATCTGAACTTCGTCGTTTTCTGTTTGCTATAAGCCGGCATTATCGTCGGGTAAATAATTTTGAAAACGTCAGTGCCACATAGATTTCTGTGATGGTCAACCTGTGAGCATCTGGGACGGAACTCACCTTGAGTGAAGCTGATTTTACTGTCACTTTGTTGCAATATGGCGGTCACTGATAGCCTGCGAGCAAACTCTGCAATGAACCTTTCCACGTTTTTTTATTATTATTATTTTATTTTATTAATGTTTTTTTCAATTTTTGATGTTGACAACTAAGGAAAAATCCGTCTACTCCGCTGGGAAGAGTGCCTTTAAATTAGTAAATTTACCAAGTTTGAAGGTGATTTGTTGAAAACTAACAAAGATATAGCTCCTCAAAGTAGTGAAATTTTTACAGCTGACGTTTGTTTAAAGTTGGGGGCATAAACTTGCCCCCCACCATGTAGACGTCCGTAAATTTTCTTTGCAGTGGTGTCGACGGTTTTTCCCAAACTGGTGCATATCAAAAGTTAAAAAAAAAAACGTTGGAGGGTTTATGATAGCGAGCGAAGCGAGCCGCGAATGAACACGCCAGCGAGCGGCGAATAATTCGCGTCTCCTTTCGCGTGCGGCGCTCGCGTAAATAGCCATCGTTCGGTATGTAAAAATTCTGAGATGACTCGGAGGCAATTCCCAGAAGAGACTTGAGCCCAAAGAAAACAAAACCAAATGTGGAAAAAATGGCCAGAAAGCCTCGGAGCCATGTTATAATTTTAATATATTGAACCTGGGCTATTGTCGCGAATCCCCCAAATAGAGAGAGTGCTCACAGGCTAGATCATTGAAATGGGCAGAATCTACCTAATGTGAATGGAAAATGAGGCTTAACACTATGTTGAAAAGATGAAATAGCACTGTCATTAGAGAGTTAACACAACCACGATGGCAACACTAACGGGAACGTCAAAAAATAAAATAAATGAATAAATAAGATAAGTAAATAAATAAATAATAAAAAAAGAAAATTAAGGAAGTGAACTGAACGAACCGACCACCTTGCACGTACCACACACTTTTTGGTACACTGCATGACTGCGGCATGAATTTTCGTAGCTAAGGTCCCGTTTATATGAGTTGGTCCGGGTAAAATGATGACCCTCCCAGCCAAGTCAATTTAAGCGAGCGTTTGTATGAGAAAAAAAAGTTGACCCCTTTGCACGGTCCAATAGCCCTTGGTACATGTAATGGTTAACTTAAACATCGCTTGCGCATACTCTGATTGTCTCGCTTTGGCCGATTTGACCAGGCTAGGCGAGCTCAAGCCTGGCTAGCAGGTTGAGCCTACCATCACAAAAGATTGATCCAGCTAGGCAAGTCACCATTCTGGCCGCTTTTCCAGCCACCTTTTTTGGTTCTCATTTTCACGTTTTTCCACGTTTTTAAAGAAAATGTGTGAAAAGTTGGCCCGCCCAGGGTAGCTTCCCTGGTAGGCAGGTGGTCCTTTAACCCGGGACAAGCTTTCTCCATATATAAGGGACCGAATTTCACGTTTTTTGGAGAACGTCTGAAACTCTAGCATTACGGCTCTTCCGAATTTGACGTCAGTGAAATTTAACTTCATTTGAACAATTGAATGAAATGGAAAACATCAATAAATTGCGGATCGGCGCGGATATATTTTTAAGCGATATTTACGCTATAAATGCCGTGATTGCATAAGCTCCTTATTGCCCGCCGCCCGGTTAGCTCAATGGGATAAGTGTCGGTCTGCTGAGCGAGAGGCCGTAGGTTCAAACCCCGGCCGGACCAACACTCAGGGTCTTTAAATAACTGAGGAGAAAGTGTTGCCTTTGTAATAACATCTGCAAACGGTTAGACTATCTAGTCTTCTCGGATAAGGACGATAAACCGTAGGCGCCGTCTCTCAAGCCCTTGCACATGTAATAAATCTGTGGGACATTAAAGAACCCCCACACTCTTCGTAAATAGTAGGGCACGTAGTGCCCGGTGTAGTGGTCTATCTCGCTCTCACGCTCGTGTGTGGGGGCATCATTACTCATTCCTTCATTACTTGTAAACTGCACCTTAAGCAGTGTAGATAGATAGATAGATAGATAGATAGATAGATAGATAGATAGATTGATAGATAGATTGATTGATTGATAGATTGATTGATTCACTTTTATTTGAATACGGTAATTTCATAAGTTACATAACTTCTTTACATGAAAGCCGTATAGAAACAGAAGTAAATACTGTACAACTACACTAAAAATATGTACAAATAATAAAATATAGTAAAATGTAGTCAACAGCTTGCCTGCCTACTAGCCAGTTTTCTTTTAAAGATAGCTTTAGATTGGGACGCTTTTATGTCATTTGGTAAAGAATTCCACAGCATTCCTCCTCTGTATGAGAAAGACCCCTTATAATATTCTGTTTTTGGAACGTGGTCCAGTACAACATTATATTCCGCATGTCTTAGCATAGACTTATAAGGGTTGTTCTCACAGACATTCGAGAAAAGATCGCTTAAGTAACTAGGTATATTTCCATTCACTGTATCATACATTAATAGACTTAAGTGCCTTTGACGCCTTGAGGCAAGCTCTTCCCAGTTTAGTTGTTTTCGTATTTGTGCTGAACGAACGTCATAACCTTGAAAGGTTATTATGCGTGCTCGATTTTGTAATTTCTGGATCCTAGTGGCAAGTCCCTGGTCTAAATTGTCCCAAACAACGTCGCATTAGTCGAACACAGGCTGGATAGATATAATAATTGGTACGGGGCAGTGGAAGGACTAATTTATTTTCAGTATTCCTCAATCGATAAGAAGTTATTTCGTCACGAGATACAAATTTAGATCTTAGATGGTCGGGAGTCATCCCATGTACGGTTTTATACATCATAATAGCGTCGATACTTGTCTTTGGTGTTTAAGCTTACGCCAACCCAGTGCCAGGAACAAATCGTCCACATAACAATCAGAATTAGCGGACATTAGAATACGGGCTGCACGATTTTGGAGCCTGTGCAGCCTATCGGAAAGACCAATGCCGCAGTTGCTCCATACGACATTGCAGTAATCAAAATGCGGTTGAATTAAACTGTCGTAAACATTAATTAATACATTAAAAGGAATAAGATGTCGTATTCTTTTAATTGCACCCAAAGCAGAAGCAATCTTTTTACAAATACTCTGTATGTGGCATTCCCAGCTTAAGTTTTGGTCAATATGCACTCCAAGAGATTTTTCCGTTGACACTTGCATCACGGGATGGTCGTTTATCGATGGTCGTTTATCGACCCAACTAACATAAACTCAGTTTTAGTCAAGTTAAGGGTCAGTTTGTTAGCCGATAGCCATATATACACCTTGTTTAAATCGTCGTTAACGCAGTCATTTATGAGTTTTAAATCTGCGCTGGCATAGGTTAGGCTGGTGTCATCGGCATTATTTTCAGCCCCCCCCAACAAAATTTTTCCCGTACGCCGATGCATATTAGTTTTAAAAAACTTTTCCGGGGGCTTGCCCGCGGACCCCCCTAGGAAACTCGTGGCCACTCAGGTCTTCTCCTCCAAACGCTAAATCCTAGATAAAACCCCGGGATAAGGTTATTTTTATTTATTTATTTATTTTTATTTTTTTTTCGCACTCAGACAAAAGTATGAGAGCGTGCAGTGCATTTTTCATATATGTGTCCCTGGATGAGCAAAGTAGGCCCCAAGCCATCCCTCCTCTGGAAATTCACTCTGATGAAGAGCGAAAACGATTTGAAGCTGGAAAGAAAAGATATCAGCTCCGCAAAGAGGGAAGAACAAGTCGGAGCTAAAGTGGATTTACTTGCGATATGTCTGTGTTGGTGCGAAGTCGTTCGGATAAAGATAACTCCTTGCTTGTTCTGTTGTTCTGTTCAAAATGATAGAAGTTGTGGATCAGGAGTTTTTTTAAAAAAAAGGGAATGTCATTTGATACCACAATATTTACTAGAATAATATAAATTCCTTGAAGACAATTTTCGGACATCTAGTCGACACCTTGCCGACAACTTGCAGTCACCTTTCTGGAAATTTGCCAACATTTTGTCGACGATTCTTTGTCAATACCTTGCCGACACCTCCCTTATACAGATACCCTGATAATACGCGAAGCAGCGAAATAAATCCCCGCCAAAACTTACAGAAGTCTGAAAAAATAGACTTCCGCTTTTATGGAGTCTCGTTTTTAGGGAACTTGTCCATTGCGAGTTTACGGACGGCAACCTTCAAACCGACTACGTATGTAAAATTAATATTACATCCAAGATAGATCATTCAATTCACGGGATAAATTTTTAAAAAACATAGAACAAAGATGTAAGATACAGCTAACTTATTGTTATCCTGTGACTATGTTGGTCATTTCACGGATAGAAATATCGACAATAGTGGTCTAAAAGACCTTCCTACTTTAAATTTTTGTGCGCCTACTTACTGCGCATGTCACTCAGATTATTCCTCAATATGCTTCTATGGCGGTGAAACTTTAACTGAGGAAAAGAAAATGAAATTTGTTTAATGTGTACATTTCATAGACTAATTTTACTACTCATTAAAACTTAATCAAAGAAGGTGAATAAAGAAGTTGATTGAATTTGCGCAACCTTGTTCCCAGTTTTTTGCGGGGATGGGCAGAGAAGAGAAAAGCATCGGGGGGGGGGGGGGAGGCTGGTTTGAATTGTTGAAGTGTGTCCTTTATATACGAGTCGGGGTTTGGTAATTTTTGATTAAGATGAAAAGATATAAATCAGTTTGGAAATAGGTTCTTATGCCATTTTTGGCTAGACTACGAGTAGTCCCCATTTTTCCTCAGGGATAGTAGAGTGAGTGAAACGCAAGGGCTCGTGAAAATCACCCCACGTGAGAAAGAAGTAATTGGCTCCTGTTTTAGTTTAGTTTAGTTTTTCCCCCCGCGGGGATGGGGAGGGGGTTGGTTTATTCCCTTCTGTGCCTGTGCGGGGATGAGCCGCTGGACGGGGTATTGTTTTTGACCTCTAAGACAGGGAATATGGTTTCCTGTGAGCCTGTCCTAGTACATGGTATATAATTTCGTGTGAGTCTTTCAACAGGGTATTGCCTGCACCATCGATTTGAGTTTCCAGAAGAAATTTGTTTGTATTCCAAGTATACAAAAGCCGTGACTTAAACGTGAATTTGCTATATTGCAATTGCCAATAAATGGCTTTAAAACGAAACAGTGTGTTTTTTGTCCTCTGTCGTAAACAGGACCAGGGTTTCAAACCACCTGTACCCAAATAATGGCCTAGTGCTTCCCTCCCCTACCCCGATCGTTTCTCAAATTTCTGAGAGGGCCCTGGGACGGTAGTAGTGCTTAGGTCGTCCATTTGAGCTGAGCACCGCAAAAAAGTTAGGTAGTTACTGAAGTGCTGTTATCATCTGTAAGGAAGAACAAAACTATATATGATGAGCCGCTCTTTGCTTCGTTTGCGTCAGTTGTGTTTGCGCTGGGTGCTCGGCACTCGTGGATGTGCAAAAAAGATGGCGGCAACAATGGCGACGAAATCGTTCACCACCGGTGTTGATTTGAAAGGCGAAGAAGGTTCCATTTCCCGCGGTTCAATCGAAGTATGCCGGCTCATGGCCCCTGATGATGCTAACATCGCTGGGAATGTACATGGTGGGACTACATTGAAGGTAATCGAGGAAGCCGGGCTCATTCTTGCCACACGCCACTGCAATAAGAACAACGCGGGCAACAGGCCGGCGTATGGTACCTTGGCGCGCGTTGAAAGGACAGATTTTTTACAGCCACTGTACATTGGAGAAGTCGCAGAAGTTCACGTGCATTTAGGCTACACATCAAAGCATTCTGTGGAAGTAATGGCATTTCTTTGGGCTGAAAATCTCATAACCGGAAGTCGCCGACTAACGAACCGTGCTTCGATGTGGTACGTTCCGGTGATAACAGGAAGTGGCGAAATGAGGGTCATACCGGAAGTCCCGGCCATTGAGTATGCAAGCCAAGAAGAAGAGGAGAGGGGGAGAGAACGCTACCTGAGACAAAAGAGAGCCAGGCAGGATAAAGAGGAGCATTTGAAAAAGGTTTGTAAATTTCAGATACCTTATAACTGACACAAGATACCTTTGGTCTTATGCAAAATATGGGGTTTCATTCTCATCAGGTGCGCAGACACGCACTGTGGTATTAAAAAGGTATTTCCCATGTTAACAAAGCTGTGGTAAATTTAATGTGGGGATAGCTTGCCATCGATTGTAGCATTGTTTCGTGTATTTTGACAATGTATGTATAATTCAGCTCAAATTTCAACTGACATGTTAGTCCTGGGATGGGTGAAGGTAAACAGATATTTTTTTATTCTTGACCTTAGATCCCATATTGCAGTTTAGCTGCATCCCTTTGTTTGATTATATCTAATGAAGAATCCTGATTAGCCTTCTTGTCTTGGGGAGTTGTGTGAAGGGAAGGCAAAATAAATGTATAATTATGTTGTAGTTAATTTTTTATTTCAGTTAATTTTTATTTTTCCATTGTTTTGGGGTATGGTAATATATGCTAATTTAAAACAAAGGAAAAACAAAAATTAACTGAAATTAAAAATTAACTGCAACATATATTTTATTATACATAAACACCAATGAAATACCAGGTGAGCTTTTGCGCGGAAACATGATTTCTTTACCCTTATTTTCACATGTGAAAAGATCACCATTGCTATAGCTACATAATAAATCGTGCCTTTCGCAGAAAAAAAAAAATTCAGTGAAATGGTTTGGAATTTCATTGGTGTTTATGTAATAAATAGAACGTTACATGGTTGCTTGGAAATACAAAATTTCTCCTCTTGTGTTGAAAAATGTATTTCAGCACTTGCAGAGAAATTTTGTATCTCCAGCGGCCATGTAATATCCTCCTATATTTAAACTAATAGTAATAACAGTAAATAATGATAATGAAAATGATAATGACAATGATTAATGATATTAGTAATAATAATTATGACAATGATAATGATAATAATGGCGATAATAATGATAATAGTACAAAAACAAATGCAAGCTGCACTACTGCTACTCTCACTGTTGTTATTTTTGCTTAGTTGTTTTAGTTTCTTGCTTCTGTTAATAGTACATGTTGTGTTTACAAGAATTATTTTATATTAATTCTCTCTGTTTAAATTCTTTCGCACAATTAGATCCAACCACTATTTGTTACTGACAAAGCATCTCAGATGGAGTATAGAACCTCTACTGGTGATGTTTCTCACTATAGTGTTCTCAACTCACAGTCATCTTTGATCCACTCTGTACAACCCTCAGATTGTATTGATAATGGTTATGTACTTGGAGGTGTCACCATGAAGTTGATGGATGAAGTGGCTGGAATAGTTGCATTCCGACATTGTAGAACAAATGTTGTGACAGCATCAATAGGTAATACATATATTAATATAGCTACCATGTTATCAATAAAAAATACGGTTGCAGTTAATAGAGAGCTTTAGATTTGTGGATGAGGACGACTGCGAGTATGAGATTTAACTTAAAGCTTTTTCACATATTCTGGAAAAATATTCAATCCAGCAAGCTCCACTTTATTGTACTGTTTTTCACCTGAAATGTTAATGCAGTTATTTCTATTGGAGGAGGTTTAGCCCTTTCCCAGTCCCAAAATTAAAAAAGTTGATAACTTGTTCCTGCCACCACGGCATTCTTGCTAAAACTCATAGTAGAATTACGATGGCTATGACGTTTTCCCGCCAAAATGACATTGGCTCATATTGCTTGAGCATTACTAAGTACTTGTAAATGCTCATAGTTATCCTAGTCTTAGAACCTAAAGCTCTCTAATAATTATCAGAATGCTTAATTAAGACACCAAGAGGTACCTGCAGTTTCATGGTGCGATTAGATTAGTATCTATCATAGACGTGGTTTACCATACAAATTCTCCTCACTGATATCTCCATTATAATTATATCACAGAATGTTTGGAAAAAGTTGATGAGGGCCAGTATAATAGTCTCAGTACATAAGAGGCTAAGTCAGTTTAATGCTGCACTTACGTTAGAGTTGTACGTTATGCTTTGCTTTTATTTGCTCTTTTTTTGTTTAACACATTTTTTAGATTCTTTTCTTTAGAGGTACAATGCATTGTAACTAAAATTAATTAATTGGCAAGTCAGTTGTAGATATTTCCAATAATAAATTATAAGCTTGATATCATCCATTTTATATTTATATTTATGTTTGCATATTGTTACTGACTTCTGTAGTAGGTTATTAGAACCAAGGCATGCATCCACTTTTGTTAAAGTGCAGACTTACTAAGAAATTTTGGATTATATAGCCCTCAACAATATCATGCATTTATCAGTCAATCACTGTCTTAATGCTAAAGGTACATGTAATCTTCAGTTATTCTCTTTCTTCCTGAATTTTTAATTTGTCAACAGATGCAATTGACTTTCATGCACCAGTGAAGCTAGGTCATGTAATACATTTGGCTGGAAGAGCAACTTTTACCAGCAGTCGTTCAATGGAGATAGAAGTTATTGTTGATTCGAAAGATTATGTATCAGGTATAGCTCTTTAGTGTCAATAGGCCTACAATGACCCCCACCCCCACCAAAAAGAAAAAAATAATAATAATAGTAATAATGATGATAATAATAATAATAATAATAATAATAATAATAATAATAGTAAATGTCAAATAAAGACCAAAAAAAAAAAAAAAAAACAGAAAAAAGATCAGCAAGCAACAATAACATCAAGACAAACTAAAATATTGAAGGTAATTATGGACAGTTGAAAAAAAGGGAAACAAATACTGTATTTAAAGGAAAACCTTCAGAGTCAAGAAAGAGCAGCAGGATCCTTCCTGCTGTCCATTTAAGGAAGGTGATGTTTTTAATATCCAGTGTTTCATTGGTGGATCTCTCGGCTGGCTGGCCTGGGTCTAGTTGTCTGAAACCGAGGCTAGTGAGGCCTCAAGAGTTTTGTTTTGACTCTGGGTTTTAGCAATTGTGTCCTGGGATAGGGTTTCCTTCGAGGTGGTTTACCTAGGAATCGTCAAAAACCAGAGTTAAGATTTCGATACTGCCCCATACATATTTTATATTACATTACTAGCCTCGCTTCGGTACAACTAGACCAAGGCCGGCCTAGAGTTCCGCCATATTTGCATCGATTGTAGAGTTGCCTATTATTGCTGAGGAAAGAGAGCCTCCCTATTCAACTGTCCACTGAATTTAATACCTTAATGTTTTTTGATCAATCGAGTTTCACCTAATAATACATAGCATATTTCGTTTCGCATGACTCCTAACGGGTTCGAAATTTGGAAACAACGTAACTAAATTTAATTGTATCTGAACGTACTTACTGTAGTTTACCGCAAAATATACCCTGCTGTTTATTTTAATACCATTTTTTTGTGTTCTTTTTCTTTCTTTCTCTCTGTTTCTCCCTCTTTATTTACTTATTTCTTTTTGCTTTCTCTCTTTGTCCTTTTTTTTTCCCGTTGTTGTTGTTGTTTTTTCAGATTAACTTTTCGCCTCTCTTTTAGATAAGAGTGTGAGAACGTGCAGTGCGTTTTTTACTTACGTCTCATTGGATGCTGATGGACAGGTCAAAGACATTCCTCCTCTTGAACTACACACCGATGAAGAACGAAAGCGGTTTGAGGCTGGAAAGAAAAGATACCTACACCGCATAGAAAGTAGAACTAGTTGCAGGTGAATGGTCCATTGAACTGTATGAGTTAATCTGCTTTGTTTGCTTCTGGCTTCAGCAAAGGGAAGAATTAGAAACACTTCGGTCCTTTTGCGTGAGTACAGCTAAATTATACAGCATGCTGCAACAGCGGATTTTTCCCTCGCGCCCGGAGCCCGCCAGATAGCTGGCTAGCTCGCAGGCTCAGTGATTTTTTTTTTTCGGCTTAAGAGCATAATGTTTTATATAGTAATGTTAGTCATGGTGGATTTGTAGTCGCTTTTGTGTCATATTTGAGGTTTCATTTGAATCAAGGTCAAACGAAACACGTTATTAATTTTTTAGGTTAAGCGTTAACCCTTAAACGTAAGACTGAGAGAGATGCCTAGTTTAAGACTAAAACTATAAAGCATTTCAAGCATGTTGGTATTAATTTTAATTATTTGTGCGAGATCTTTGCGTAATTTTGTTACTGGTGGCGTTTCCAGGGCGTTTCCGTGTCCTCAACTTGACTCGCTACCAAACAAACCATGGCCTCATGCGCACTTCGACCTGGTGTAAGCTTGAGCCTATGCAAGGGTGGCAGATGAACGTCTGACTACACCAACCAAGTTCTGGTTATGGTGATGATAATACTGCGTGATGTGAGCCTGATTCTTAACGGATATGATATCGCCAGAAATCACCAGGGTTAAAGTTGAGACTTTGATGGATACTAGATGGAGAACAGGGACTAGTTTGCTTAAGGCGTTATCTTGCGTTCCTACGATTAACCAATCATAGCTTCTTATGACGGCTGATACTATTTGTGGCATGTATATACAATTGTGATTGTTAAAACAGCCGCTGCCACATTGGCTATAAGGTAATCCACTGGTTTCCTCATATTTCAATCCGTCCACAACACACCAATGGGTAGCGAGTTACCCGTAAGTGAGACAAGCATACTGTTATAATAGTGTTTGCTATAAACCGGCTTGATAGTTGCCGTGGTTGATCGGACCGAAAGCGAGTTGTAAATGGTGCTCTTTGGGTGTTAATCGGGAAATTGGTTCTTTAATTTGTGCTCATACTTTCTTCTGATCAGCAATAATGCAGCGACTGAATTATTGTTTCCCTTCCAGAAGTCTTCACACTGTGTGTTTTCCTTTGATATCTATAGCAGAAGAGTAATATTTTTGGCTTTTGAAAATTCAAAAACCCATCTTAAATAGAGAGTTAGTTAGGTACGGGTAAAAAAAAAATGTTTTTAACATGTTGAGAAATATTCTGGCCTCGTCCACATCTATTCGTATTTATTTACACACTCTTTTTTTCCTTTCGCTGAAATGGCCTTTCTTTCGTCCAAAATTATCTGGTAAAAAAGGATCACCGGAAAGCATGTGGTGGCGATTTTTTAAAACGCCATCTAGTGTGGACCGATGAACGGATGAAAACGGAAAATTTCTTGCCAGAAAAGAATCGCTCACTGCCACCTTACGCTTCTAAAGTTTTTTTTTATTATTCTCTGAGGTAAACTGATGTTGAAGCTTGCTTTTTCAGCATACGAGTTAATCAGTATGGGCCCTTTCGCTTCTGCTTTCGAAAATCAAAGCGTTATACGACTTAACGACTATACGATACCTGCAGGGAGGACGCGAGTGTCAACGTTTTTTGAAAATTAAAAGAAAATCTCTTTTCAAATGAAAGCCGGGTAACGTGTGACGTGTGAATGGGGTCTCTGGACAGGGCCGTTTTGACTGCCTTGACATAGGTTTTCTGGGTTATACTGACTGATATAACGACACACGTATTTTCTCTCTCTTAATATCATTGGTTCACATAATTATCAAGTGTGTAATGGAAAATCTTGACTGAAATTTCGTGGATGGGTGGCCAATACGAATTTTTATAGGACAAAATGACTCCTGGTTACAATTTTTAGCAGTTGGGTTTGTGTATTACGAATAAAAGGGCACAAAGTGTAAAGAAAAAGCGCTTTGAGAACAGCTTTACCCTGCAACCGCTCCAACTTTCCTCAGTGACTGTTTCGCTCTCTAGATCTCTTGCTTAAAACCCGTCAATAACGAAGTGCTCAAAGTCTCCGACTGGCTCAATGCAAATAAGTTAACGCTCAATGCTAAAAAGTCAAACTATGTTATCTTTTGTCCATCTCAACGTAAGTTGGACTACTCGGTTAACATTGAAATGATTGGTAACTGTACTCAAATTCCTACCACGCTTCAGTGCGAAGACCATGTTAAATATCTGGGCGTCCTATTGGACAGCAATTTAAGCTGGAAATTTCAAATTAATAATGTTGCATTAAAAATAAGCAGAACTTTTGGTGTTGTTGCCCTTCTTACGCACATCGTCCCACGTACAACCCTTTTAAATATTTATCAATCATTGATCTTGCCTTATCTGACATATTGCTTGGTGGCTTGGGGTCAAGCTGCCAAAACCCATTCACAAAAAATTCTCGTGCTTCAAAAACGCGTCCTTCGTTTGATGTATTTTTCTGAACCTAGAGCCCATGCTGTGCCTTTATTTGTTTCCTCGAAAATTCTACCCTCACAAATGTTATATGCTGGAAAAGTATCTTCTATAATGTTTGACGTTTCCTGCATGAATGCACCGTCTAACATCTGTGATTTCTTCACTAAAGCTAATTCAAAGCACAAGCATGAGACCAGGTTTTCTTCGTCTGGATATTATTATGTCCAAACTTCAAGAGTGAATGTAAATCAAGATTCTTTTTCCAGGTTTGGAGCTAAACTTTGGAACGCAATTCCTAACGAATTTCGTCAACTCTCCAAAGGAGCTTTTAGAAAAGATTTTTCATGACTTTTTGCTCTCGATAATGGAAGCAGAGGACGATTATGTTGAAGTGCCCATTCTCCTACAAAAAATGGCAAATTCTGCATCCTCGACTCAATGTCCTAATAATCGTTAGGTTCTGTTAGTAGTAAATTTGATTGTAATATCATTGTGTAAGACTATATATTTTGTAACTTAAGCTTGTTTTTCTATAATTCTTATTTATCCACATAGTTTATTTAGTTACTTTACAGTTATTATATTATCTGTTATAATTGCTGTAACCTTTCCTCTCCGCCCGCCTCGTCTAGCTTTTGCTATTTGCGGGCGGAGATGGCAAAATAATGTGCATGAAATAACGTATAGTGTGTGTGTTAAAGAGGAAAGAGCATCATCCTCGTGTACTTGTGAAGCAAATGACACTACTAGGAGTATGCATGTGAAACACCATGTGAAAAACGTGTGAAAAATGTCCTATTTTCACACTCTTTTCACATGTTTTTCACACATTTTTCACACACTTTTCACATGCATTTCACACACATATTTCACATGCATGTGAAATTTTGCATAGTGAAATATATGTGAAAAGTGTGTGAAGCGATGTCATCCCTTTCACACATATTTTCACATACACTTCATGTGGGGTTTCACGCAGGCTTTCACATGTAAATCCTCACTTACATTCACACATATCTTCATATACTTCACATGGGGTTTCACATGGGCTTTCACATGTACTTAATCCTCACTGAATGGAAAAACATCTAGAATTTCACATGCTACTAATTCACACGTTATTTTCACATACACTTCACATGGGGTTTCACATGAGCTTTCACATGTAAATCCTCAGAGATCGGAGATCATGAATGGCAATAGAATTTCACTACCCTGCGAGCAGAGGTTTGTTTACAGGTAAACAAACCAACTATGCAACAGACAAGCCGCCCAAACGACTTCGTAAACGCTAAAAGCCATGCAAGAGAGAAAACTCTGCTTGCAGGATAGATTTTCCCATACCACTTCACACAAATTGGCTATGTTGTTTCACAAGTAAATTTATATTCAGTAAATCAACTATAGCTTAGATCAATTTACACACAAATTTACATTTGCACTTTCCACTTGCAATAAATTTGTCTGAAGTACTGTCAACTGCATGCATGGTTGTGTCTTCATATAGTCACAAACAACTTCAGGTTTTTTTTAGCCTGATCTGTTGGTTTATTAATAATTTTATGGTATTTTCAGAAGAACTTAATTTATATAGAATGGGCAAAAAGTGAAAAGCAAACTGGATAGAATTGATTGGCAAAGGAAATTGGTTTCACAATATCAACACGGCGAAATTCAGTTCAACTGACCCACATGTCCCAAAATGAACTTAAATGTAAATTTAACTTACTCAAAAAAGGCATATAAGGCTAATCGAAACATCAATGTCTAATCCTGTCTATTAGTCAATACAGTCGAACCCCGCTATTTCGAACTCGGTTAATTCGAAGTCCCCGCTATTTCGAAGGAAGATCGAATTCCCTTGGATTTACCCTTCCCCTTTACGCTTCCCCGGTTATTTCGAAACCCCGCTATTTCGACCTTTTTTCCATTTCCCTTGGGACTTCGAAATAGCGGGGTTCGACTGTATTTATTGCCTGGAGGATAATAATAATAAAAACTCTCTATCATGCTCAGTTTTTATACCTTTAATTTCTACATCAATAAAATAACTAATAATATACTAATTTTTGGTTAGAAATCTTTCTTATAAATTGTAATAATTATGATAGTAAATGACATAGTCGCCAATTTGCAATTTCCACTTATTAAGGCATACCAAGTTACAGAAAAGCAATCTAGCACTCAGTGTCAGTGTAAAGACAAAGTAACTAAGCATCTTTGAATAATACAAGCATGTTTATGGAAAAAATAATGCTAAATGACTGCTTCTTTTAAAGTTGCTGAACAGCTTTCTGAACTGAAGGTCCACAAATCAGACTAGAATAGAGCTGCCTTTTATTTTTGACCTTATTGCAGATGTATGAATATTATGAATCGAAGCTCAAATAAACAAACCTACTCAAATTTTATAGGTTTAGTTCAACTCTCAAGTCATTATAAATTAACTGGAAACTTAATTGCTTCCCACTTGTAGTATACATTGCATGCATATCAGAAACTTATGCTATTTCTTCTCCTATTTTACTTAACATTGGTCTTGACAAGTCTGTCACAGCCTACTAGCGCCAGAACATAAAATTTTCAGAGTATTCCATTGACGATTTGCAACAAAGAGTACAGTTTTTTCTGCAGTAAACAAAAAGGAATCAATCAATGGCATGCATCTTAAATTTAAGATGTATCTTTTAAGGTTTAAGCTTACGCAAAGTTATTAGAAAACCAAAGTAAGCTCATGTTAACGAACCACGATAATTATCAAGAACATACCTTTCTGCAATAATCCAGCTGAGTTGCTGACTTGGAAACATGCTTTATGTGAAGAATTTTGCAACTGATCACTGTCTCTCGAAAATAACATGGGTACTATTGAAAACAGTCTTTCTATTTATCCGAAAGTTACGAAAATATTCCGTTTGCAACGCTGTGTTGCTTGTGAAGTCCGCGTAAATTTGAATAATTAAACGAGACTTACCTGTAAGTTGAAGTTTGATTGAGATTCTACCGTAGCATTTGCAGAAATGAAGAGATCACATGAGATAGCAAGTCACGTGACTTCGAGCTCAGTCTTGAAAGCATTTTTTTTTTTTTTGAGGAGTCCTGTAGACCACCCCATAGATGAATAGTAAATATATGGTGTATGCAACACCATAGGATGATATGAACAGGGGAAGGGGAAGGGAGGGATGTGATCTCTTCATTTCTGCAAATGCTACGGTAGAATCTCAATCAAACTTCAACTTACAGGTAAGTCTCGTTTAATTATTCAATTCTACCTCGCATTTGCATACATTCTGAGATCACATGAGATTTTAGAGCTCTATAGGGCTCTCAAAAAATAAAGAATACACATTCCAGATAAGGAAACGTAAGCATGGCATTTATTACCAAGGCACTAATTCTTTCCCAGTACACTGTTGGCAAAGGAACTATCATTTAACAGTGGTTTGTTATAATAAACAGCAAACACAGAGCTTGAACGCCAGCCAGCTGTGGTCATAATTTCATCTAGAGGAACATCAGCTGACTTTGCAGCAGAAGTGGCTGCACTTCTGGTGGAGTGAGGCTTAAAAACAGAAGTATTAATTCCAGCGTCAAGCATAACTTGTTTGAGCCACCTAGAAATAGTGTCTTTAGAAGCAGGCCCATGAGGCTTGCAGTGGCAAATCAGGAGTTGAGAACATGAACCCCTTAAGTTAGAAGTTCTAATAAGATACTCTTGTAACAATGTAAAAACGCAAAGAGTTTTATCATGGTCATATTTCTTCAACACAATAGGTGGCAGGTGTCTTTGCCTGCCACCATGAGCACTTGTTTGCTTTAGAATGGAAGTAATTTGAAAAACATATTCTCCATCTTTAGATTGCATGTCATTGATTGACAGCAACTTAAGAGTCTGTGTTCGTTGTGCAGTAACCAAGGCCAAAATCATAGTACGTCAGTTTCAAAGTCAATTGCTTCAGAGGCATTTCCTTGGTGTCAGGATAGCCCTTGAGGTGGCTGAGAACAATTTGGGGGTTCCATGTTTCCACATATCTGGGAAAAGTTGGTTTCCTGTTGAAAGCACCCGACATAAAACGTGAAATAATAGGGTGTTCTCCTACTTTGAAGCCATCAATATTGATGAATGAGGAAAGAGCACTTCTAGTGGTCCCTAGAGCACTGTAGCTAAGCTTTTTGGACTGAAGAGTTAGAAAGTCCAACAGTTGTGGTAATGAAGGTGTTGTAATGCTGATCTTCTGTTCTTTACAGTAAGTTATCCAAGCTGATATGCTGGATCTGTATTGCTTCTGGGTACTTTTCTCCAAGAATCAATAATAATGTTCAAAGTTTCACCAGTTATTCCTTGCAGCTGGAGGATTTCCTGACACAAGACAGCCAATCAGTCGGAGCTTGGGGTAGAGGGGATGGACGTTCTTTACATCGTGGGGAAGGGTCAGGGTTGACTTCTGCAGCTTTATTCGGTGTAGAGGCGCCACTAGCATTGACATTACTCGTGGGTACCAAAACTGTGTTGGCCAGTCGGGGAGAACTAGGATTGCTGTTGTCTCGGAGAATATTATCTTCTGAAGTACTTTCCCAATAACACTGAAAGGTGGGAAGCAGTAAACAAGTTTAAACACAGACCAGTCAAGTGTAAAGGCATCAATAAAATGGGCACATGGGTCAGGTTTCCATGCTGCGTAGCAGGGCAGTTTTGCATTCAACCGTGATGCAAAAAGATCAATCTCAGGATTACCCCATTTAGTAATTAAGCTGTTATAAACATGAGTGTCTAATGACCATTCCGTGTCATCATGAAAATGTCTACTTGCTAGGTCAGCTTCAACATTAAGTTTTCCAGGTAAATGGGTGACAGCTAAGGATATGCCCCTGTCTTTACACCACAGAAGAGTTTCTCTTGCAATCTCATTACAGTCCTGAGAGTGTGAGTGCCACCCATATTTCTCAAGTAGGAAACCGCTGTTTGGTTATCAGACAATACTTTGATGTTACAGTTTGTTAAGTCTGAGCACAAGGACTGAAGGCCAAACAGGACTGCTTTTATCTCCAAATAGTTTATGTGGCACATACTCTCACTGTGGGACCATCGCCCATTTGCGGCAAGGGAAGAATTTTCAATAACACTTCCCCATCCTTCTAGAGAGCTATCACATTTAAGGGTTAATTTGTATTTCATAGGCCGGACAGAGCATGGATCATTGTCAATATTTGAAAGCCACCAAGACATGTCTTTCTTAGCTATATCAGAGATGAGCATTCTGTCATCTAAGTTCCACCCATTCGTCTTTAAAGCATCAGTTTTGTCATTTTCAAGAGCACGGTAATACAGTGGGCCATATTTGACTCCAGGAAAACATGACACCATTTGCCCAACTACAGATGCAACCTCTCGAATAAGAGGCTGCTCCGTTCTGAGGAGCTGTAAAATGGCTGATTTCGCTTTATCAGCCTTGTCCGATTTCATAGAGACTGTCATCACAACCGAGTCTAAAATGAAACCCAGGAAATTGACTCTCTGGGATGGGACAAGTTGGGATTTATCAGAATGGATGGTGAATCCCAGAGACTGCAACAATGTAATAGCCCTTTGTGTAAATATGACCAGTGTCTGAGGGTCATCGGCAAAAAGTATAATGTCATCAATGTAAATTACTAGAAGCACCCCCTCCTCCCTTAATTTGGCAAGGGCAGGTTTTAACAATTTGGTAAAAATTCTGGGTGCACTAGAGAGGCCATTAGGAAGGCAAACAAATTCATAAAGTTGGCCTTCGTGCTCGAAACGAAGGTATTTTCTGTCCTCAGTCCTAATAGGAACAGAGTAGTATGCGTCTTTTAGGTCTAAGACAGCCATCCAACAATTAGGCTTCATAAGTTGAAGTGCGTGAGGCAGTGAATCCATCTTGAAGTGATGGTACTCAATATGCTCATTTAGCTTTTTCAAGTTCAAAATAAGACGGTGAGACCCATCTTTTTTGGGCCTGGTGAAAATTGTTGAGATAAATTCACCAGGAACATGAGTAGCTTTCCTAATGACCCCTTTAGTTAAAAGCTTGTTAATTTCAGTAGTAGCAATATCTGTCTCTTTACAAGAAAGTTTGACAGCTCTAGGGGTGAGCGCCTGGCAAGGAGGGTTGCAAAACTCTAGTTGGTAACCCTTAACGATGCGTAAAATGTAGGGGTCAGACGTGAGCATCTGCCAAGCACTGAAATGCTTAGCTATGTTTCCAGCAATATATACATTGGTACAAAGAGGCGAACATATACTTACTGTGCTAGTAGCTGGCAGCAAGTGTTCTATTGGCTTGTCCGGGTTGTCTTGTCCCGGTTGGCATTGTTCTTGGATTTCCAAGGTTTGAAGTTGTTGCCTCTCCAGTTTTTTGACTGCTTATAGCCATTATAGCTGTTATTGCCAGGTCTTCCTGGAGAAGGGCGATGCCCTTTATAATTAGGGGTGATCTTGGCCCCGATTTTGTTTTGATCGCCAATATCTTTCAAATGCTTTTGTAGATCATCTCCAAAGAGAAAATCTGTAAATGGCAATTGGGAGGAGCAGAGAGCTGAGTATTCCCTCCCAATATCTGGTCTCAGTAGAAGACGGCACTGCATGTTTATTTCATAAGAGGCATGAGTGAGGAGGGACATGGCCTCCAACCCCTGTTTCTTTAGGTCTTGGCATTCATCAGCATTAAGCGATTTTGCCTGCATAAGCTTGTCCGTGATTCGGACAACTGGCAGGATGCCTTTTGTGAGGGCTTGTTGTATTTTGAAAAATTGTAAATCCCTCTTCTTAGTTGGCTCTCTCAGTCGACGCCAAATGCCCGGGTTTACCTTGGGAGGCTTGGCTGTAGTACAATTAGCCGGTCTCTCCTGCCTCTCAAGCCGGTCTTTGAGATTTTTCTCGCTTAGTTTGCAGCGGAACATTTTGTCAACTAGCTTGGCTAGTTTCTCATTTTCGAGGCTTTCGCCCACGATATCGTCAGACTCGTATTCTTTTACGAGTTCCGAGAGGAAATCATCCTCATCACCACTACGAGTGGTGTTTTGCTCTGACTCATCACTGTTGTTGTTTAACACAGAGTCATAGAGTTTCTTGCAGTCAGTTGACTGGTCGGAGGCGCTCGTGGAGCTTCTCGCCTCGCCATCTTTGTTTTTTGCTTTTTTGGCGGGAACAGAGTTTGGAGATTTGCTCGCCGGCCGTTTCCCTTTGTCTTTTGTCTCTCCCCGCGGCGAATTGATGAGTTCTGGCAGGCTTTTCGTCAGGCCTAGAATTGCGTGGGTGAGTTGGCTAATTTCTTACGAAGAAGCGGCTGTTTTGTCCTGGAGTTGTCGGGAAGCGTGTGCAGGCACCGCGTTGCGTTCGTCGGGTAGCGAATCCTTGTTTATCTGGTCTTCTTCGCCCTCGTCCTCAATTTCGTCGGCGAGGAGATCGTCCTCAGATTGTTTTGACATCGCTAATATCTTCGGCTTGAGGCTCTGAACGAGAAATGGATGAAATTTCTGAAAATTTTGTGGGAGCGACTAGTGCTCCAAGCGACCTTGCCCGAAATCAAACTCGCACTGACCTCGAAGTCACGTGACTTGCTATCTCATGTGATCTCAGAATGTATGCAAATGCGAGGTAGAATTGAACTATTCAACGGAACTTCATTTTACAATTTTCTATTGGTTCAAAAGCCGCATGTGACAATGCAAATCAAAATGCGCATGTGCAAAAATCACGGGGAAGCCTGGGAAACAACAAACATGGCGGCTAATCTTGCGATGGAGAAAGTGCACTCGTTTGAATCGCAAAAGCGGTTATTGTCAGCATTGATTAGAATATTCCAGCGCATGTGAAGTGTTAGAAGCAAGAGAAAAACTTAACATTGTTCTTTCAAGTTGGGAAACCTTTGAGGATTTAAGGAAATGCTGGCCTTCACTACATGAATCAAAGTTGCGACTAAATACGTGTTGTGGACGTTGTTCATGTTGGACAAGCTCAGGTACGGAAAGCTGATTGAACCAAAGAGAACTTGAGCAAACCAAGAGCATGTCAGTTGTTTGCTTCTAAGAATCATTAGTTGAAGGAACGGTATCAAAAGAAAACTCAAAAACCATGCAAAGTAAGGAACTGTTCGCATGTTCAAGTGGACTTTCAACGTTACAACGAGGAACGTTACAGTAAGAAACAAAACATTCATAAAGTGTAGTCACATATGTCGTATATGTTAGCAAAGTAAGTTTTCTGATGGAGTAATAAAATTAAGTCCGTTTTGTCCTCAATGAAGATCTGTCGAAAGAATGGTTTAATTCTCAGGATTTAGCCCTCGCCCACTTAACAAAAATCTTTGTACACATCTTTCTGGGTGGAAACCAAGTGGTAAGATTAAAAAACCCACATATTTAGATGAGAAAGTTGATAAAATACATAAATTTATATAGCATATTCTAGCAAACAATGAAGAAAATGATATTTATAAAGATGCACTTATGGATCGGATACTCAAAAGGTTTAAATCAAGCCAAATATAATGAAGAATGTACAGTGTATTCAGGGGTTTCAAAATGTTTTGAAGTAGGCACGAACTCTGGAAAAGCAGGCGGCTGTGACAATTGAGGTTGTTTGTCACAAGCTAATTGTTATGACTAGTGCAGCCAGCGATATACAGTCAAGTAGCCTGCAGAACTCTAGTCTCCGGCTTGTTTTGAAACCCCTGTGTATTTACTAATAATTAATACAGTTATTGACTGAGAGATCTGCTTGTAAGCTAGATCATGAAAAGAGCCTTGAACGTTAATTCCAGTCCGCTGCTTTACAAGAGGGCCCCTCTGGGGCTTGGCACTTTGATATATTGGGGTTCGCCTTTGTTGGTGATGATGATGATGATTTGTAACAGCACGCTTGTTGTGATCACTTGCCTTAAAGGTCTGATGCATTATAGTGTGGTGAATTTTCTAGGTTAGTAACTTATCAAATCTTGTTCTTCAAAAATTCATGACCCTCATAGCCAACTTAGTTTGATATTTATCAGCCATGAGCCATAAAATGCTAGATGTGGCATGGCATGAAATTTAATTTTGCAGTTTTCATGGGCCATGAAATGCCTTTCATAGGGTATTCACTAGAAATTCATGACATTTTCATAAAAATATGGTTCATAGTGGCTGCATTGAACAAGCCCTGAAAAAAATTCACATGCTCACTCTGACATGTCTAAAGGGGTTCACATGCATGTGAAAAATTTCACATGCATAGCATCTATTATGCATGTGAAATTTGACGTTCACATGCATGACAAAATTGTTTCACATGTATGAAAAGATTTCACATGTAATAAAATGCATGGGAAAAAAGTTCACACATATGACAAAAATTTTTCACATGTATTACAAAATTTCACACGCATGTCAAAAAGTTCACATGCATGTGAAATGCTGATGTGATGAACTTGTATTTTTGCCAACATTGATTTCACATGGTTCCTTTTTTTCACACACTTTTCACACCCTTTTCACATGATTTTCACACACATAGCCCTAGTAGTGTGAATTAGCAATTAATGCTTTTACTTGAACAACAATTCTTCACGCTTATTCTATGTTTACATGTAATAGACTTTTATCAAGAGTGCAAGGCTCCCGTTCGTGTGTACGGTGATGTCAAAGTAGAAATTCACGATTGGTTTACTATCACAGTGTTGACGTCAATAAGCCATTAGAGCCAGAGCCAATTTAGTTTTTGCAATACTAATTTGTCAGCCGACAAGTTATTTGTTTTCATTTGCCGTGTGGCCCTTTGTCTTATTTTCATTGTTTGAACGAAGACTCAGCCAAACTGCACCCCGACCAAGAAGTGTTTACTCATTTTGCGGGTGTGTTGGTTCTATGGTGTGAAGAAGTCTTTTCTTTTTTTTTCTTTTAAATGGTAAAATAAATACTGGTATCTTGGTGACAAGTATAAGCTAGCTGTGAACATATTATGTTCAACACAGTTGTTACCCTCAAAAGATCAGTTATATTTTGTAGCTATTTTTTATTGCCTGATGGATGATTTTATTCATGATAAATAAAACTACCTTCTAAAAGGAACACAGACAAAATAATAAAAACACACCGATAGAAAGAGGATTTCAAAGCTATCACAGCGTCGTTATCAGTTATTTGATCATATCGACCACGTCATCTCCCTTAAAGTTCACGACCATTCTGCGCATGCGCAGATGGTAAACGATGGCATTTCTATTATCTTGAAGTACATCTTGTCCGCCGTATTTCGTCTTATAAAATTCCTATATAATTTTTTTTGAGTCCACGTTAATCGACGTGGTAGAATGCAACTCATCTTCCCTATAACGCCTACCCGATTGCCCCTCTCAGCCCATTATTAAAGTTTAGCCCGCTTTTAATTTAGCTATATATCAGATAACGGAAAGCGATGCTCCCGGCTTTCTGCTTGAATATTGCAAGGCCAAGGCACTACAGTTA